GGTAGGGAATAGGGGAGGGGAGGGCAGGGTATAGGGGAGGGCAGGGGTAGGGGATGGGGAGGGCAGGGTAGGGGATGGGGGAGGGCAGGGGTAGGGGATGGGGGAGGCAGGGGTAGGGAGGGGAGGGTTAGGGGATAGGGAGGGGATTGAGGGGAGGGCCGGGCAGGGAGGACAGGGTAGGACAGAAAAAGGGAGGGACCTGGCAAAGGGGCAGGGGAGGGCCGGGCAGGGGAGGACAGGCAGGGGATGGATCCTCCAAGGTAGGATGGGGTAGGGAAGGGATGTCGAGGGTTCTTGCAAATGCGGTTCCTTACGCGACGGCATGCAGTGTTGAAGACGAGTCCCCGCGTCAGATCCCATCACACCGACGAGATGTTGCGATGCCCGGCCGGCGCTCCTTCCGTGCCCTTTGACCTTCCTTCATCGTCGGTCTTTTCCTTCGCTCCGTGTCTGCTCTTCGTTTTTTTTTTCTTTCTACGTCGTGCGTTATTTTATTTATTTATTTATCATTTCGTGCGTGCGTGCGTGCGTGTGCGTGCGTGTGCGTGTGTGTGTGTGTGTGTGTGTGGTGTGTGTGTGTGTGTGTGTGTGTGTGTGTGTGTGTGTGTGTGTGTGTGTGTGTGTGGTGCGTGTGCGTGTGCGTGTGCGTGTGCGTGTGCGTGTGTCTCTGATTACGTCATGTGTGTATATGCGCTGGCATGTGTATGTATGTATCTGTATGCGTATGTGTGCCTACGCGCGTATATGTGACGTGGTGAGGCCCAGACCCAGCCACACCAGACATCAGTGGCACAAGATCTTAAATTCAGATCAAGCCGTCGATTCTTTATTTGGTTCTCGCGGCGTATTTAAGTAACCCGGTGCCCAGTGTACGTCCGGCACGGATGGCAGACGCAACGAGCCCTCGGGGGTAATTTGCGATGCGCAAGGGGAAACTGGGGTGTTTTCCCTACACCTATTGCAAAAAAAAAAAAAAAGTGAGGGAGAGAGGAGGGGAGAGGGGCAGGGAGAGAGAGGGAAGAGGAGAGAGGAAGAGGAGAGGAAGAGGAGAGAGGGAAGAGGAGAGAGGGAGAGGAGAGAGGAAGGAAGGAGAAGGAGGAGAAGGAGAAGGTGAGGAAGAGGGAGAGGGAGAAGGAGAGAGAGAGGGAAGAGGAGAGACGGAAGAGGAGAGAGGGAAAGGGAGAAGGAGGAGGAGAGGGAGAACGAGAGAAAAAGAGGAGAGAAAGAGAAAAAACGGAGGAAGAGAAAACCAGAGACAGAGAGAGAAAGCTGGCTAAGTACCTCTTTCACAACGCTGTATTGAATCCCCGCAACTAGTTAGCCGATGCATGACGTCACAAATAGCCACACGCGGTGCTTGGCGAATCGCGTTTCGTCGCCCTGATTGCTCGGCGTCGAAGAGCGGAGAAGGATATTGATTTCGAGGGACTTCCTCGATCGCTTCCTTCGCCCTTGTCTCCGCGTCGCCGTGAATGCCGCGAACCGCAGTGATTTGAAATTTGTTTTCCCTGATTAATGGACATATTACCCTTTGATACATAACTGATTCGTCAGGGCAAGGGGAGATTTTTTCCCCTAATTTCATCAGTGAAGTATAAAACTTGATTTATGTTCATGTTGGAATTCTTTCAGTCAAAGCGCAAACGTCAGATGAAAGTATGAAAGGGGCCTCCTCCCCCGACTTCATTTCGCTCTCCCATTCCTGCCGCCTGGTCGGCATGGCAACGCAAGGATATTCCAAGGTCCTTTCAGGACGTGGGCGCTTGAGAGGGGTGGGGCTCCATGGCGTCGCGAGGGAACCCGAGTATTGGAAGCGAATCCCAGGGATCGGAAGGCGATATCACCTGTGGCAGGGGTAACCGAGGCAGAAGAGAGAAGATAAATTACGTAAGAGAAAATCAGGGGAAAGTAGGACAGTTAATTAGTTAGATAGAAAATGGAAGTCAAGTGAGAGACAATGAGGGAAAAGCAGGACAAGTGAGATAGTGGCGAGAGCGACGAGGGAGAATCGCAGAGGTCAGGGGAAGCCACGCCCTTGGCCCTATCTCCCTTGATGGCCCTCGTGCCTGCGCCGTCTTATCCCGCGCTGCCCTTTCTCTCCTCCGCCGTGACCCCCCCCCTAAACCTCCTGGAAATAAGTATGAGTGTCACACTTTTATTGGGGAACTTATTTATACATCCTTCTTTGAGTAACTACCATAACTGCCTTGTTGAAGCCAGGAACACGTGGTTTTGTGAGATTGGTACTTGTTAGCTGCAGTTTATTCGGTTGATTAAACTTAACGGAGGTAGTTTGTGCTCAAATGATGATTTTATTTTCATTGGCTGGACTTTGGATTGTTACTGTCGTGGTTTTGTTGTCATTGTTGTGCTCATATCAAGTGCTTTTGTTGGTTGGGAACTTTCTTATTCATAATCGTCATCCCTCTGTCCTGGAGGACGCAGCATCCCTCCGCCGTCAGATCGAAGGCACAGCCGCCTTTGCAAGAGGTTGCAGAGCAAGGAAATTCTGCCCTCCTGCCTCTCCAACCCTCTACCTCCTGCTCTTCTATAACTGTCCCCTGTCCTCTGCGCTCGTACCCCCTGCCCCCTGCCCCTGCCCCTTTTGCTACCTGCCCACTTCTCCCCCTGCCCCTTCCCCTGCTCATCTGCCCCCTGCCCCTTCTCCCCTGCCACTGCTCATCTTCCCCTGCCCAATTTGCCTCTCTGCCCCCCGTCGTTCTGCCCCTGGCCTTGCTTTGTATCGTGCCATGCCACCAGGCCAGACTGGCATATAAGCAAGTGTCGCAAGGTCGAGTTTGATATAGTAATGTCATATAGTTTTAGCCTATAAGACCATTACATTCCCACAATATGCACTGTCATGCGCCATATGCGACAGACACAATGATGCATGATAAAACAAGGGTTAGGTGTTGAGTGGACGAGGGGGAGCATGAATGGAGGAAGCGGGGGCCAAGAAGACTAAAAAGAGAAGCGAAACTCTTTCTCACTCTCCATCTCTCTCTCTCTCTTCTCTCTCTCTCTCTTCTTCTCTTTCTCTCTCTCTCTCTCTCTCTCTCTCTCTTCCTCTCTCTCTTCTCCTCTCCTCTCTCTCTCTCTCTCTCTCTCTCTCTCTCTCTCTCTCTCTCTCTCTCTCTCTCTCTCTCTCTCTCTCTCTCTCATCTCTCTCTCTTCTCTCTCTCTCTCTCTCTCTCTCTCTCTCTCTCTCATTCTCTCTCTCTCTCTCTCTCTCTTCTCTCTCTCTCTCTCTCCTCTCATATATATATATAATATATATATATATATATATTATATAATATAATACCACCACATAACACACACACACACACCACACACACACACACACACACACACACACACACACACACACACACACACACACACACACACACACACACACACACACACACACACACACATTACACACATATATATATATACATATATATATATATATATATATATACATATATATATAATATATACATATATATATTATATAATACATAATATATAATACATAATATATATACATAATATATACATATATACATATATATACATATATATATACATATATACATATAATAATATATATATATATACATATAATACATATACATAATATATATACATATATATATTACATATATATATATAATATACATATATACATATACATATATACATTAATACATATATATATTATACATATACATATACATATATATTATATATATAATATATATTATATATATAGAGAAGAGAGAGAGAGAGAGAGAGAGAGAGAGAGAGAGAGAGAGAGAGAGAGAGAGAGAGAGAGAGAGAAAGAGAAAGAGAAAGAGAAAAAAAGAGAGAGAGAAAAAAGAGAAAGAGAAAGATAGAAAGATAGATTTAGATATATATTGGTTTCTCTATCCCTCTTCACGCCCCCTGGTTAACGCAGCTCCGGCCAGGAAGTGGGCGTGCGTCAGCGGATGTCGTGGGCAGCCCGGTGACACGGCGGGCGTGCGACCAGGCCTTCCACGGCGGATCAGGGGCGGCGGAAGGGCTCTGGTGCCGCGAAAACGGAGATGGATGCGGCAGAGGCTTGGTCAGTGGGTACAAGGGATCCCACAAGGACAGCCCGGTTTTTCGGGGTGGGTGGGGTGGGCGTAGATCGGCGGGCGTGAGCGGAATCGCTAATGTCCCCCTCCTTCCGCCCGATCCAGCGGGGTCTAAAACAGGGCATGTGCGCGCCTGGCCGAGGCTGGGGGTCAGGGCCGGCGGGAGGAACAGACCCTCCTGCGTCGGTCGCGATGATGATGTGACTGGGTTTACTTGCTCGGCCTCTTTCCATGAATACATTAATTCATCGGCAGTGCAAATACGCGGCCACTCAAAAAACCTGCACATACGCTTACTCTCACATCCAAGCCTCGAACAACACCCGCAACATGCCTTCGCCCCCCCCCCCTGCCACCTGCTGGTCCACATTAATTCTTCAAATTGTAGTGTGATCGTGAAATAATCGCCACTGTTATTACCAATGTGAGAATGGTGATTCTACGACAGCTAATGGGAACCGGTGCCACTGCTACTGCCGTAACGCTATCCCTCATTTTCTTCTCCTTTACCGTTTTTGAAGCTGAATTCCTATCCCCCCCCCTACACTCTTCCTCCTCTGCCATTTGCCTTATCCCTTATCCTCCCATCCCCTTTAGTTTGCCATCTCGTATCGTCGTCAATTATCCCCGCTTCTGTCCTTCGCCTCGCCCTCGTGTTAGCAAGCAAGGCAGTCGTAGTTGTCATGCACGTCTCTCATGCACTTCCGAATCCGACGTAGTGGCTGTGACGTAAGAAGACCAAATGAATCGGCGCACGCGAAAGCTACAGTATGTGACCTCAATCGATACGCACCAGTCCAAATATGTGTGTATTAATGTAAATAGGTATTCAAATGTGGATACGAATTATGCGAGGAGAAAGCTTAATGACTATTTTTTTTTGTTTTCCAG